AAAGGGCAAAGGGGTGGGGATGGGGGATAAATGGGACCAGAAGGAGACCTGACTTTGGGTGATGGGCACACGATGCAGTATGCAGATGATGTTCTGCTGAGTTGTGCACTTGAAACCTGTATGGTGTTTTTAATCAATGTCACTCCAAAAACTCAATAAAAAAATTTTTTTAATGGCAAAGGAATAGCAAATGTTTACACTTAAGGATGCTGGTACCCATGGAAGTAGCCAACATACTACTTAGCACAGCCAAAAACTATTTTTTTACATTGCGATGCTATCAAATGGTATAATTTTGACATAAATAACACAAATTAGGATATAGACACTGGGAAGGAGGTGATCAGAAAAAACTGGCAAAATAAAGAATAGAAGGCATTTGAGAAGTCCATTCAGTAAAATGGGAAACAACGAAGAAATTAAAATGAAACTTGAGAAGAAACTGAAAAGGAGAAAATCTGAGATGTCCTCAGAAGAACTTTCAGCTGTGGACGCTTTTCGTTTAACAAAACCATACCCTTACGTGGTGATTCTATTTTATAAAGGATTCACAGAGTAAAGATCACTTTCAACTTAATTAAATACCAAGATGTTTATTTCTTATTTTCTATATATTTAGTTGAAAGAATGATAATACATTTTCTCCTTTGACTGCTAATTTACTGGAATCATTACTTAATATAATTATCTATAATAACAGCACATTAAAACAAGTAAAATATCAGAGCACTGTGATTTTGTGTCTTGAATAGACAAGCTAAATATGGAAGTAAAAACTTCAAGAGTATCAAGTATATAAACTGCCAAGAAATTCTATAGTCCTATTTGATTCTCGATAATCATTCCACTTTTAAGAAACCTAAATTTAGCATTAAAATATGTAAAATGCAACAAATTTCAATCATAATATCAAAAAGCCTATGCTAGATACTAACATGATATGAATAAGAAAAAATGAATTTTTAAAAATAACAAAAGGTATGTTAGCAATTTAAAGGAATGTAAATATTAAGGGGGGAGGCGGAAGGTTGATATCTTTCTTGGGAATATTCCCTGAATTCTTAAAACTGTAGCCTGAAATATCTTTGGAAATATCTTTGGAACTTTAGCTGTATAAAGGTGGGTTTCAATCTTAGTAACTTAAATATTCATTGTAGCATATTAAAAAGATAACTATTCAAAGAAAAAAAATTTAACAATTTTTTTAAAAATTTTAAAGCATGCTTTTGTTGTAAAAGTTTTACTTGGTGTTCATGTACAATCATTATGAAATATCTAACTCAATTTGAAAGTTATTAACGTTAAATAAACAAAACACTAAACTCTGATGCATGAATTAAGATGAGGAATTCTATCAAATCAAACATTATAAAATAATTAATCAGGTTGTTCCTCCACTTAAGACTAACCCAAATAAGAAATGTGTCAGGCAAAGAAAAATGAATATAAAATCACATGAATATGGTATGTGAAAGTAATTTTTAAACTTTAAATTTACACTTATTTTAAATTTACAGATTTTCTCTTTATTCTGACATTCCAAAATGCTCTAGGTAATGGAATTGGTTCCAGCACAACTCAACTAGAACTTAATAGGAGAGAGTAACAACAAAACATTTATTGAGCACCAACTACAGGTCAGCCAGTGCATTATAGCCATGGCTTTGCTTAATCCTCACAATATTAGAATTTTAAGGTAAACTTCAGTTTAAGGAGGTTAAAATAACATGTCCTATTTGACCAGCTAGTGATCAACTATGTTCTAAGTGTCATTAGCTGGTTGGCTTCGGGTTCAGAACTCAGGTCCCTCTGACTCAGTCAACTGAGCAGTAAGCATTATGGACTCATGCTGTATCCGGCCTTTTAGTTAATTCTCTACGGCAGGCAATAAGCTCATTGTCCTCTCTTCCTCACACCCACAAAACCCCCACACCCTTAAGCATTTCCTGACGTCTGAAATAAAATATGCACTAAATCTATAAATGCACAAAAGAGTAGAAAAAATAAATTGTACAATGAAAAACTAAATTTTAATGACAGGGTTTCACAATGTAGCTCTGGTCTTTAAAAATCCCAAGTGGGAAGGCAGGATCAGTGCTGCCAGATAGGTAAAAGTAAAATGGGATATGCTTTAGACAAGCTACTATTGGGTCCATCAGCCCCATCCTTCCTGCTCTCAGAACTGTAATTCTTAACTTTCTCAGGCATGCACATTTATTCACAGTCAGGTGGCAATTCAGCAACCCATAGCTAGTCATGAAGAAGGATTCCAAGCACACTGTCTGGAAAATCCCAACTCCCCTCCCACCTGGAGAAATCTTCACAGCAGAGGTGGACTATCATCTTTGATTAAAAGTGAAGAGCAAGGCAATAATGAGATTTTGGAGACAGTGGTATGGTTCTCTTTAATCGTGTTGACCTTGAATCTTTCCATATGCAGCCCAAGAATCATACATCTACATCCGTAGTCACGCTTCTTAAAGTTGTTGAGATGCCATAAAGCAAAGAAGCACAGAAAAATTTCTAGTGCATTTAATACTCATGTGTTCCACAACCTAAAAGCATTATTGAAAATTCAGAAGAAAAAGAAAAAATTTTAAAGTATTTAAAAAAGAGAAAATTCAGGTAATGGAATCAGACAGATTTAGGTTCAAATCCAGTCACCTACTAGCATAGGGTTTGGGACAAATATCTTGACATTCACTTTCTAAAATTCAATATGTAAAATGGGTTTGGTCAGAGGATAAATGAGAATGCATTATGCCCTAGCCAGTTTGGCTCCCTGTCAGGGCTCGTGCAGGAGGCAGCCAATCAGTGTCTCTCTCTCACATCGATGTTTCTCTCTCTCTCTCTCCCTTCCACACTCTCTGAAAAGCAATGGAAAAAATATCATCAGGTGAGGATTAAAAATAATAATAATAATAATAAACACTCCCTGATGTAAGACTGGGGTTCAAGTTTTTGGTGATTAATATTAAGAGTATGCAGCCCGGCCAGGCATGGCTCAGTGGTTGAGCATCGACCTAGGATCCAGGAGATCGGGGTTCGATTCCCGGTCAGGGCACATGCCCGGGTTGCAGGCTAGGCAGCTGATCAATGACTCTCTCATCATTGATGTTTCTATCTCTCTCTCTCCCCCTCCTTTCCTCTCTCTGAAATCAATGAAGATATGTTTAACAAAAAAAAAAGGAGTATGCACACATTTGGCCAAGTACCTCACAATTACTGGATGTTTATATTACCCACACTGCCCTCTTCTTTAAGCATGTCTTCTTTTAAGCAAATTCAGTAATGTGTACAAAATTTTGGATTTGACCAGAGAACAGTTATTCACATTAAAAAAGAGCCACAGATTTCCCCTATTTGCTAAAAGTGGTATTTAAACATTTTTGTGCCTATTTTAAAAGCTTACCTTAGTTGATAATAATCATGAAAAAGTGAAGCATAAATTCTTCAGACTTCCTTTCCCTGAAGGTTTCCAGAATTTATGTTTAAAGTACACTTGGTTCATTAGTGTTGGATAGCTAATTGAATGACATTTCTTGTACAGATGTATAAACACAGAAAAATGTGGGCTAGAGTGGAACCAACCCACATTTCAAAGCAGCTACATCTGTGTTACATAAACCTTTCTTGAGGCAGAGCAAAATAAAGGGAGCCTATCAGGGCAAAGGATAGAAGCTGCTTATGACTGAGGGAGGGGACCCGATGAAAAGAGCTGCCCTGCTACACAAAATCAGCCTTGGTTACTGCATAGGCCCAGCTCTCTGAATTGGTACTTAAGATTTCTCCTGAGATCTTTTCTTCCTGCACTGTCCTTTTCTGAAGGAACAGGACAGAAAAATTATTATATATTTTTATTTCAAGGTGTCGGGTTGTTTTTCCTGTAGCAACATCACTTTTATTAAATAAATGTGAGAAAAAATATGAAATTTCACTTTATAGTGGTTTTCAAGAATGCATGTATTTTATGCATGCTTCAATTTAACACATCCTAATTTAATGATCCTCAATTATTACAAAGGTTAGAACTTGATTAAAAAAAAGGGTTATTCAACACTATCAATTATTTCTGGAACATAAACATATTTCTCCAAACATACTTATAATTACAGCATTGATAAGCACTACTAGTAAACACTATATACAGGGCATTGTTCAGTCACTGAAATGAATGATGTAAAAAGAAGCAACAAGAGGCCTTTACCAATCGTTTTTAAATAGTCTTGATATCCACCAATGCCATCTTATTAAAATGTGGGTATTTTTTACATACTGAGAAGGCTACTGTGAAGCTGTTCCTGTCTTCCCAGAGCTCTATGGTTCCAGCCTTCTGTGGCTAATCTTTTCCCTCTACCACTGAATTTCAGTTCTGTGACACTTCATGATTTGTGTGTGGCCATGTAAGCTACGATAGTGATACTCAAAAGTCCTATGTCAGGAAGAAACTCAAACGACTCACCAAGAAAGTGTTAGGCACCTTATTTCAAAGTAAATGAAACTGAGTGCAGTGGGTTTTATCTTCCTACAAAGCAACAATATATAGGTCTCTACCAGAGGCAGGGTAAGAGATCACACAAACCAGTGAAAGAAAGAAAAATGGGAGCGAAGACTGGAACCATCTGTATCATGGGAGAGATTGGACTAGGAAGGGAAAAAGGGGAATCCTTATTTTTTCCTTGTAACAAATAGTGCATGCATCTATGAAAATTCCATATAGTCAGGTATGTGATCCCTAGACTGATCATGATACAACAGAAACAATTTTCACATTGAGAAATAAACAAAAGCAACACATAAGAGACTGACAGAGAATCATACTTAAAAAACCCTAATGTACTTTTCCTAATTTGCTTTGGAGAAATTATGTGCTGGGGTCATTAATTTAAAATACTGAAAATTGTAAAAATTTTGCCTTTGTAACTTTAAATATGTAAGTGCTATTATACGTTAGGAGAAGTTGTCCTGCTAAAATACTGAAACTTCATGCAGAAAACCTATTTTAGAGCCATTTTGATTTAACTCATTATAACTGTGTTTATGTTATTTATTATAAGCTTAATGCAAATAAGTCCTTTATACTGGATTATAAATGTAGAGACTCTTACAAATAATTTACCAATCCGTCATTTCTCAACTGTTAACAAAATTAATTAAATCAATTCTCTCATATTAGCATTGTGTAGACTTTTTATTATGCACACATAAGTTTTTACTGGGCCAGCCAAAGAAACTATTGGAGGCACACTAATTCATCAAATGAAAAGGTAATTCCAAACAACAACAAAAAACATTTAAAAGTCAACATTTGGTAATTAGGAAAATGCTACAAGAAATTTAATGTTTTCTGAAAATAACCCCCAAGAATTATACTAACTGATTTTCAAAGGAAAACTAAGACATAATCCCTAAGGCTAATTTTTTTGTCTCAATATTAGCATGGTTAAGAACAACCCAGAAACCCACCTCAGTGTGTCTTTGATGTAATGCATTATATTCCTTCTTCAGTTCTGCTTCTCTTTCTTCAAGTCTGCTAACTGAAATTAAGATACATACACTTAATCAAAACAAAATATAAGAAATATACTTGAAAATTCCATCTTAAAATCTTGGAATGGTTATCCATAATCCCTAGCAACTTTAGGACTCGGTGCTCCGTATGAAATTCTTCACAAAGCTAGTAATCTCATTTCATCATCCCTAAGAAATAAAACTTTCAGAGGGGGATAGACTAGATTTTCAAAAATTAAACACCAGACTGCTTCTCCTAATATGCACATGTTTATTAGGTCATCCCTCTAAATAGGTTTTTGACATGATATAAAATCACTTCTTTCAATAATACTTTACAAATCACCTCAAAGAAGTTTCAACCTGGGATTAGGGCCCAAATCACTGACTTCTAACATTATTCAAGTTCTTTTTCCCTACTAAGCCGTATGTGAAAATGTCATTGCTTTTTTCTGCTTCAGGGACTCTTCTTTTATTTAGCTCCCTCTGCTGATGGAGTTTGTGAGTGGCATTGATTTGGGGTAGTACTCCCAGAGTACAACTTTATAATTTTTTTTTAAGTTTTAGAGTAGAAAAAAAGTCTTTTAAAACACTCTTTAAAAAAGTTTTAGAATGCTGGGACAGGATTTCACAGGAAAGAAAGATGACAAGACTGATTCTGGGAGAAGGTGGAGTTCAAGCAAGACCATGAAGAAACTACAGCACTAAAGACAGATGATGAGAGTATACTGCGCACTGTTACCACAGGGACAGGAACACAAACCATGCTGGTGGTAAGGCAGAGGGCAGACTGGCCAGCCAGGAGGAGCCCAAACTGGCTAAGAAGCAGTGGGAGAGATTCTGCTGGGGAGAAATAAAGCTGGTGCCAGAGGAACTTGTAAAGATACTCATTTAAGTCTTTTTTTTTTTTTAAATATGTCTTTATTGATTTCAGAGAGAGGAAGTGAGAGGGAGAGAGAGAGAGAAGCATCAATGATGAGAGAGTCATTGACTGGCTGCCTCCTGCACACCCCCTGCTGGGGATCGAGACCACAACCTGGAATCGAACCACGATCTCCTGGTTCCATAGGTTGATGCTCAACCACTGAGCCATGCCGACCGGGCTCATTTAAGTCTATTTGAAGGCCTGATATTAGATGGAACTGTTCTTTTAGTGTAAGGGTCAGCCACCTGCAAACAGACAAGGCTGTTTGTAAGTGACAGCCTGTGACTGCGTCAGAAGGCTGTAGAAGTAACTACTATAAACTATCACAGCACACATACAAATGTTTTCATATGCCTAATGTTAACACACCAGATACCATGTGTGCTGCTTGATAAACTGAGGTTGGTTTGTGTAGCTTACTTGTCCCCTTTGTTTGAATATCTTGAAAATATGTCACTAATTAGGAAAACTGTAGCTCTGACTTTTGTTTCTAATCAAGCCTCTATGTTGGCTCATTAAATTTACACCAGTGAGTAAACACACACTACAGTCCACACTTTACTGTGCCAGGCAAAGGCTGAGAACATGTGCTACTCATCTTACCTTGTGGCTGCAAGCAATAAAAAGCAAACTAGTGATGCAAATAACACAAAAGATACTGAAACCATAATTTTTAGTGCTACTTCTCTGCTTTTTATTTGAAAACAGGAAATCCAAGCAAATTAAGATATTCAGTAATAATTTCAAAGTAAACATTTTCTACTGCTTGTCAATTAAACTGATCTAAAAGCTTAATACTATAACTACTGGCTAAACCTTATCTATTTTTAATTGCATGTCTTCAAGATTTTCTTGGTATTAGGCGAACAAAAAAACTAACAAACAAAACTGGACACTGAGGCTAAAATAAAACCACAACTATCATCTCTAACCCTCAATCTCAAATTTCTGTCCCACGGTAACCCCTCAATATTCTTGTCAGCTAACTTGATATGAATTAGTAAAATAAATTTATATAATATCACTAACAGCTAACTTTAGTACTTATGCGTCATGCACTGTCCTACAGATTTTATGTTAACTTATTTGAGTCTGATATTAAGATGAAAGTATTATTACATTCATTTTAGAAATGAGGTAACTGAAGCAAACAGGAGTTAGTAAGTGACTTGCCCAAAGTCACACAGCAAATAAATGGAAAAACTAGCATTCCTAATGGAGGAGTCTGGGTCCAGAATCTATTTTTAAATACCATGCTATAATACTAGCTCTCAAGAAATACTCTTTCTAATCTGTTTTATATACTAGAGTCTACTTAAATTTGTAGTTGTGGGGAAAAAATATAGAGAGCACTTACAGAAAGAACCTAGTAACAGACAGGTACAAGAACCTAGTTACGGACAGCTACTTCAACTCAAAGGTATCAAAATACCAAGTAAAATACACACTCAACTTTATTAATCATGGAAATGCATTTTATTTTTTTATTTTATTTTTAAAAATACATCTTTATTGATTTCAGAGAGAAGAAGGAAGAGGGAGAGAGAGAGATAGAAACATCAATGATGAGAGAGTCATTGATTGGCGGCCTCCTGCACGCCCCGGACTGGGGATCGAACCCGCAACCCAGGCATATGCCCTGACCGGGAATTGAACCATGATCTCCTGGATCCTAGGCCAACACTGGCCGGGCAGAAATGCATTTTAAAACCAAATGTAATGCCATTACGCATCCACCAGAAAAAAGCTCAAATGAAAAACCCCAATACATCAAGTGCTGGTAAGGACTGAAGCCACTGGAACGCACATATACTGCTGTTGAGAGTATAAAATGGTACACCCAATTTGAAAATTGGCAAGATTTAAGAAAGCTGAATATTTGCCAACCCTATGATAAAACAAGTTGATTGCTAAAAAGTGCATAAATGTGCCCACCAAAGGACACTGAAAACAATCCTCAAGCCCTAGCTGGTTTGGCTCAGTGGCTAGAATGTTGGCCTGGGGACTGAAGGGTCCCGGGTTCATTTCTGACCAAAGAGCACGTACCTGGGTTGCAGGTTCGATCCCCAG